GGTCTAGCGATTAATTGTAATCGTTTAATCAAAGATTCAGCAAGACCATTTTGTGTATGGACATGAGCAACAGGGTGCTCCACATCAATCTCAATCGACATACAATAGTCGTTAAATGATTGGGAAGTAAATTCTCCTGCATTGCCGTATCCATCACTTTCAACCTGTGGAAAGACATGCCCAGGCGGAAAAACCCGGACGATGACTGTGAGGTTTTCAGTTTTTCCGACATTCCGAATTGCCCGGAATACCCCTGGTGGCAGCTTTCTCCCAGATATCGGAGCTACACTGAGGGGGGCTCAGATTCGGAATTCACCAGACGATTTTATTTGGATAACACCGTGAATCACGGGCCGCTGTTCAACACTTTCAGTGCGCTGGAGGGGGTCTACACAGAGTACCTCAAGAAGAACCTGGTCAACGATAGGATTTGGTCCGTCGGTCCATTCTTGCCTCCCGACGACGAAAAGTCTGCCCCGGCGAAGCGTGGCGGATCGAGCACCGTCTCAACAGATGACATACTGAGTTGGCTCGACTCGCGGGGGGACAACTCGGTGGTCTACGTTTGCTTCGGCGGTCAAGCAGTTTTGACCACAGACAAATGGAGGCGGTAGCGCTCGGGCTTGAGAAGAGCGGAGTCAACTTTTTATGGTCAACCAAAGTGCCCACGAAGGGACACATGGGTGAAGGCTACGGGGCGATACCCACGGGTTTCTTGGAAAGGGTGGGCCAGAGGGGACTAGTGATCCATGGTTGGGCGCCACAGGTTTTGATTCTGGGGCATAGGTCGATAGCTGCATTCCTGACCCATTGCGGGTGGAACTCGACATTGGAAGGAATAGTTGCCGGCGTGCCGTTGCTGACATGGCCGATGGGCGCCGACCAATACGTGAATGCTGAGCTTTTGGTGGACGAGTTTAAAGTTGGAATGAGAGTGGGTGAGGGACAGAAAACGGTGCCAGACTCGGACGAATTGGCTCGTTTGTTGGGCAAAACGGTGAGAGTGGGAAATGGGGAGGCAAAGGGGTGTGCTTTGCAGCTGAAAGTGGCAGCATTGGATGCGGTTGGAGAGGGCGGGGAATCATTCAACAATTTGGAGAATTTCGTCAAGCAATTGAGTGAATTGGCTTCTTTGGAAATGAAAAGGTAACAAACAACTGAAGGCCATGTGAGGAAGCTAGGCTGAAGTTGCGTTCGTTCTGATCTTTTTCTTGTGTAGAGTAACGGTAACTCTCTGTATTGAAGACTACTGCTCCCTATTTTGTTTGGTTTTAGTAATCCCATGTTTTAGCATTTGCATCTATTCTATGAGTATATTGTTTACACTATACTCTCTCGTAATGAGAGACCGTTTGACAACACTGTTTTTCGGCTTATCAGGCTTATCAGCCAACTTTTCACCAAACACGTAAATTTTGCTTTCGCCCGCTGAATTGTGTAATAAGAAGAAAAAGTAAGGTTGAAGTTACTTTTCTTGCTGTATTGGTTGAAGTTACTGTAGATGACTATTTTAGCTATTTTGACATATAACTTTTTCTTAATTTTATTAATAAAATACTACACATACGTAGTATTTTAAAAGTATGTTTTTCTTAAATCAGCAAAATCGGCCAATGCAGCTAGAACTTCATAAATTTCAACAGAATCAAACAAGACAGCCGATTTTCGTGCTACCAAACGATCTCTTAATTCTGATTTTAACTTGACAGAGAAGAAAGTAAAAAATTGTATAGCCCCTCTTGACACGAGTAATATGTAGTTTGTGACACTACTTCAAAGACAATATCAAAATTATTGCCTACTTAATGAAATTAGACTCAAGTTCAGAAAAGTAAGGGCATATTTACTAACAAATTTATTTTCCAGTTTTGTTTTCTATTTTCCGTTCTCCAATTTTCTGTTTTCATTTTTTCAATTTTTCTATCCCCAATTTTTGTTTTTCAATTTTTAGTTTTACATTTTAAAATCTAAAAACATGTTCATCAATTTTTTACTTGGTTCTGTGACCGACCAGAAGACTGAAGAGTACGGTCCCGATCCGGAACCGAACATAGTACAATTCAAGTAGGTACCATGTCCCAAGTATTAAAAAGTCGGGACCGGAACCGGCCGGTCATGGGCGATCCCAATGATTAGTTTGACTATCTCTTTTCCCTTTTCCTTATTGGTTGACAACTCAACGACTCTTTTAAAACTTTTCACTTTAAAAAATAATTCTAAAAAACGAAGACCGAACCAGCGGGTCATTAACGGGATAGGCCGAGGACTACTCGGTGGTCGACCCGATCGACCAGAGACCACCGGATCGTTGGGTGGATATAACGGGGACCGTCGGGTAGTTGACCGGATAGGAAAGGGACCATCGGATCGTGGACCGGATTGGGACTACTTGACCATTAACCTGACCGAAAATGTCACACTTGGTCATGGCCGGATCGGACCAGGCAACGACCGTTCAGTCATCGACCGGATATGGACCGCTTGGTGGTGGACCGGGCCAGACAGAGACCGTCGGGTTGTCGATTGGACCGGGACCATCGGGTTGTCGACCGGGACTACTCAGCCATCGACCGGACCAAACTTGAACTGACACCGTAGCGGGACCGGATACACCAGTTGACGTAAGTGTGCAAATTCATTGCAGCGGCACTGCAACATCGGCATTTTTCAAATTTGGAAAACTAGTAAAATTCACTTCTCCAATTCATTAAAGAAAACAAAGACTTCTCTCATTTTTTTTGTTTTGGAAGATAATTTGGCGAACACATTTTTCTGTTTTTCTTTCTCCAGTTTTCCATCAAATATTTTTGATAAACACGTTTTATGTTTTCCTTTTTCCATTTTTTTCATTTTTTCAAAAAATTGGAAATATCTCTGTTAGTAAACAGAACCAACTTTCCCTTAAAATTTTCCCTATCGTTTCTAGAGTCTTATGCTTCACGGATAGTTAATAGTTAGTTTTGGACTGTTGGGTAATAATAAGTAAAACCAAACCAAACCGTCATATGTGATGTACAGTTTGAAAAGAGAAAATCCTTAAAACGTACAATTTTAAAAGTACAACATAAATAAGTATACAAATCAACCATCATTGTTTGAGTAATAATATATATGGTAATATACTCCATCAATATTTTGTAAATAGACATTTTCACTCAAACAAATTGTCATGATGGTAATACTAATAGTATCAATAATGAAATATTCTTTTTGATTATGAAATATTTATAAATTACTTTTTGTTAAAGAGGAAAAAATGAAAGGATAAGCATTTAGTACTTGAATATCTTTTGAAAACAACACAAAATATTTGTAACTTTTAAAACTTTGACATACGAACATAAAATCTGGTGCAACTGTCAATGCTCTCGACACTCTCAGTGTCCTAGGGCCTTGATACCCCAACGACCAACCTACTCTAATACGGTGCAACTAGTTTCACTCTGCCATTGGCTCATCAAGAGAGCGGCAATGGCTCTCGACTAGTTGTGCCCTTAGATCCACTTCACCCTACTTCATCGTCAAGTCCCTTACCAACAACAAGCTCCTCGGATCAAACCAGATCAGCAAGCCTAACTCTGTTAGGCCAACACATCTAAGTCAAAACAATGCCCCATGCTATATCACCCCCATTTAGCCATGACGAGTATTCCCAATGGTCTGCAACAATCTTTGGTCTATACTTTAGGAAGAGAGTCTCAGATGAACACTTCAACGATAATGTGTAATGCTCAAGTTACTTAAGAGGTTGCCCTCAAGTATTATTTTACACATATAATTGTTTTATTTTATAATGGTGTAACGAGAAGATTTAAAGGTGAGCATACCTATATTCACATGAAAATTATAACAAGGCCAAATCATTCATTATATAAAAAAGAAAGTTATGAAGAATATGTTGACTACAAAATTGTAAATATGTAGAAGTACAATGTGCAAAGTTTTAGATTATAACCGCATCATGGATACATAAGAATCCTGTCATGAGTCATGAATGTTTTTTTTATATCATAAGCCGCTTATATAATTAAAATAGCATCCAGAAGGGTACACGAACATGAAAGGACCACATGTAACCATCCGCCCTTGGCCGAGACTCTGAGTTAATCACCCAATACAAAGCAATATAACTCGCTAGACCTAACTTGGGCAAATTAAAGCTAACGACGATTACCGTAAACCTCTCAACCCCAAACCTAATGCAAGAGTTTTACAACAGAAAAAGTAGTAAAAACAAAACATAATAGTGTGACCGTGGAGTAAAACGAAAATAAATAAAATAAATTGACAAGGCAACTAAATCCATGCTTCAAACATCATCCTCGGCGGTGGCTCAGGAGGGGGACGGATCATCAACCCTTCATCTTGAAACATTCCTTGCAAAACCACCACCACAATTTGCACTGACATCTTCTTAATCCCAATGATTATAGCCCGAATGAACCCGGAATTCATGCTTACCTTCCCAATCGAAACCAGTGATAGAAGAGGGGAGTCCATAACCCGAGCAAAATCACGATCCAAATCTGTTTTCTCTCGAAACGCCCGTTCCCAGCCCTTCCTAAATCTGATGTCGAGCAAGTAAGAGCGAAGCAGGGAGGGTAAACCGATCTTCAATCGGCAAGATTGAAATTGGAAACACGACCTAGCGGCTCGCGACGCAAGCTCTAGGAGAAAAAAAGGAGATCCGCTAGCTTGACGAGTGCCATGAGTCATGAGTGTTAAAACATAAAACTAGCCATCACATTTTATTTCAAATTTTAGTGCACCTCATATATAAGGTATAATTACACATTTAATCTATCAAAGCTAAATAAAAATATCATACTGACGACATTGTAAACCGTTTATGTCAAATCTTGCTACCTCCATGTATGTCAAATTGACTTGATGACTTGATTGTTTAAAATTAATGGAGAAAAAATAATTTTTATCTTCTCACGTTTTATCCATTTCCTATTTCCAAAATCCAAACCACTTATAGGCAACGTGTTTCACACCAAAACAAATAAATTTAAGAAGCGACTCCCCCACGGCCCTACCTAGCAGGCTTCAGCTGAGTAGGCTGTCCTATTCCCTCTTTCTTCGATTAGTGTTCATTTCCACCGATAATCTCAAGAATTTCTGGGTTTCCACCGTTCTTCAATTACTCTTATATATATACCTCCCTCTCTGCTATCATCTCATCTTCTCCCGTAGAAAGTTCTTAGCTTTTCCTGAGACATAGAGGTCCGTTCCAACTCTGTTTAGCTTCAAGACTTGAATCTTTATACACTCCGTAGTTCTTTATCTGTTTTTCGTTTTCTGGGTTGATGGGAAGTTATTGAATTTTACAGGTTTCATCCCTTGGCTCTGGATAGCTTCAACACCTCAATCTTCATAAACAGGTTTCATCTCCTGGCCAGAAATCATTTCTTTAGTGTACTTGGTTTAAGTTTTTCGTGTTTCTTATTAGACTCTCCAGTCGTTGTATGATTGAACAAACCAATCTGGCGTTTCTTGAAATAAAACTAAATTTATCTTTCTGCTCGGGCTGTGAAGCTTTTGTGTTCTTGTAATTCTTGAAAATTCGGTAGTTATTTACCCCAGACTGTTTATATTTTCTTGAAACAAGAACTTCACAAATCATGCATTTGATATCGTATCTGCTCATGAATGGCATTGTTCGGTTAACTTTCATACGGAGTATTTGATAAGAGTAATTTTGTAGCTATTGGATGTGTTGATGTCACTCGGATGAGTGTTTTGGTGTAAATAACTCATGCTTTTGATTTTTTTGTTTCTTTTTGTAAACAGTATACTAAAGATATTATAGATGGTTCGGGAAAGTTATTCTAGCTTTGAATCACCCAGGAGAAAATCTTCTGGGCTATTGAGAGACCAAGTCCAGATAGTGAAAAGAAGGGATTGTGATCGTTATGAGATTGTCCCAATTGAAGATACCCTTTCATTTGAAAAGGGATTGTTCGTTGTGGTCCGAGCATGCCAGTTGCTGGCTCAAAAGAATGAGGGGATCACAGTTGTGGGAGTGGCTGGTCCATCTGGTGCTGGAAAGACTGTTTTCACTGAAAATATAATGAACATCATGCCCACTACAACTGCTGTCATCAACATGGACAACTACAATGATCCAAGTCGCGTTATTGATGGCAACTTTGATGGTAGTACTTCTCCCTCTCCTTTCTGCTTTTAGCGTTTGTTTCATTATTTCCACTCCCAATATACTCGAACTTCTGTTGGGGGTGTTTCTCGATTTATCTGCATTTAATTTGTACAATGGGATTTAATTAATATGGATTTGTTATCTGTCAGAGAATAAGTTTTCCTGTTTGGTCTGATCTTGTGAACACCCCAAGTTTAATGACTCTAATTTTAGACAGTTATTTGGCTATATAGATTTCATGCCTGTGGCCTAACTTAATTAATATATCTATATTTGGTGATATAGATTAACATAGATTTTAGCAGTTGTTTGGTTCAGGGATTTGGAGGGGAGGACGGATTTACTAATATATCTCTATTTGTTAGTCTTAGACTAAGTAACTATCAGATTAGTTAAAATGTGCATTTTTATATACTTTTTAAACTCCACTTTATTGTCAACCATCTAAATGTGGAAATAAATTTAACAGTAAACATCACCACATTTCTGCAATATCCCTGAACTTAGCAAGCCCTTCGGGTCTATTTGGATGGGAGTCCTTTGGAGGGCGTAGTCTATATCTTGATACATACGGAGTATATTATTTTTAAAAATGAATAAATAAATATTGTAATTTAATATGTTCACTTAGTATATCAGTCTTTCAATATATATAAAACCTCAATTCTCAAATATACCCTCCAAAGCATTCCCTTTCAAACCCCTCTGTCCGGACAAACTTTAAGGTGATGATGATTATTTTATCACAGAAGAGATGGCAGTTGTAACCCGACCCGTGTGCATGCCTGACCTGTGCAGATGTAGTTGGAAGGGTTCGGGTTCTATGGTTGCACCAACTCTTGCACTTGACCCACCACCCCACGGTTTATTTAGCATACAAATAGGGAGTGCAGTTTTTTAGTGCAAGTCTATGTGTGTGATTTATATTCAACATGAGTGTGACACCACATGGCTACATGTGTATCGTCTTTCTTTATATGAGGCAACTTATGGCTTCCTTTCTTTTCTTTAATGGAAAAAGATGAGTGGTTTTTTATTTAACGTTATAGATGAAGAAAAGAGATGCTTCAGTAATTACTGTCAACTGGCAAGTATCATTCTCTATGGGTCCAACTTATATTTTCATTCACTTTCTACCCAAGAGAAGTTCCTTTCTATTTATAATGTACTTCAATAAATCCCCACTATTAATCAGTTAGTTAGTTCATATCCTGGAAACAATTTTAATATTCTTTCCTTTTTCGTTTTGTGATGTAGATCCACGCTTGACGGATTATGGAACATTGATTGAAAATATCCATGGCTTAATAGCTGGAAAGCCTGTTGAAGTTCCTATATATGACTTCAAATCTAGTTCTCGCATTGGATACAGGTAATTCATATCTTTTCTTTTTAAAACTCTTTGGTCAAACCTCCTCAACTAGTACAAAAATATGATAACAAAGAAGTTAATTTTTTATAATAGGAGTAGGTATTATGGTGTAAATATTTAACAGGACAGTTGAAGTTCCAAGTTCTCGAGTATTAGTCATTGAAGGAATTTATGCTTTGAGTGAAAAGCTGCGGCCTTTGATAGATCTTCGTGTCTCAGTCACTGGCGGAGTGCACTTTGATCTTGTCAAACGGGTCCTTAGAGACATTCAACGTGCTGACCAAGAGCCAGAAGAAATAATCCATCAAATCTCTGAAACGGTTTCTCTATTATTGTTTCTATCACTGCGTATTCTTATTATAATTTTAATTTATTAATTTTGTTATTATTATTATTGTTGTTGTTGTTGTTGCTGCTTTTGTGTTGTTATTATTATTAGTACTACTATGACTACTAGTATCATTATTACTATTATCATCGTTATTATTGTTATTATTGTATACAGAGTAACTAATACTACTAGTCTACTACTGTTTTTAGTATTGTTTTTATCTCATATTTTGGCATTTGCTTTCGCGTAGGATGAAGCTTTACTTGACTCACGCTCTCTTATGTAAACAGGTATATCCAATGTACAAGGCTTTCATTGAACCAGATCTAAAGACAGCCCATATAAAAATCACGAACAAGTTTAATCCGTTCGCTGGGTTCCAGAACCCCACCTATGTTTTGAAGGTTAGAATATGTTAATGCACTAAGCGCTTGTTTGGTAAGGGTTATTTGGTTGAAATTGGTGAATCTACTGAATTTACTGAAAGGGGAAGCTTTTGGTGACATTCATTTTAGCTGTATGAGTTTAAAGCTGATAAGCAGAATAAGTAAGATAAGGCTACCAAACAGGGCCTAAGTCTAAAATTTAATATTTTCAGCTCTCTCTTATTGTTTTTTTTTTTGTTTTTGTTTTTTTTGTAGTCTACAAAGATGGTAACAGTGGATCAGATCAAGGCTATTCTTAGTGAGGAACACAAAGAAACTAAAGAGGAAACATATGATATTTTCCTCTTGCCACCAGGTGAAGACCCTGAAGCTTGTCAATCATATTTGAGGATGAGGAATAAAGATGGCAGATACACTCTCATGTTTGAGGTTGGAAATCTCCACTTCTTGATGTTCTCCTAATTTAATGGAATCTGTTATGTTCTGCTTTCAACTGGAACATTAATGGCATCTTTCTTTAATCTTTTGATGTGAGATTCCTAACAGAAGCTACACCATTATGCATTAACGTGTTATATCTTGCATCACTATTTCAGGAATGGGTGCAGGATAGTCCTTTCATTATATCACCCAGAATCAGTTTTGAAGTCAGTGTGCGACTTCTTGGTGGCTTGATGGCCCTTGGGTACAACATTGCATCCATCTTGAAACGGAATAGTCATATCTTCTCTGATGATAGAGTTTGTGTTAAAATTGATTGGTTGGAGCAGCTAAATCGCCACTATGTTCAGGTATCTTAATTAAAAACTTATGATAAATCCATTTTATTTTCTATTTAACAAAGTACTGGTATTAAATAATTAATTAAAGGTCGGATGTTTGAACATATGACTTTATATACAACTAAAGCTAAGAGATAACTGGAAATTATAAGAATAGGTATCGAGTTTAAGACATTAATGGTTACAATAACATCTTCATTGAAATGCTAATGTTTTTAAATATTTGCATGAATATGTTAACGCCGCACTCTCAAAATGATATTTGGTCACCCCCCCTCCCCCCTCCCCTAAAAAAGTGGGCATTGCAGATACTTTTTTGTATGCAGAAGAATTACCTCTTCACTAACATTTTTTAAGTAGCATGGAGCAATATTTTGGAAATTTCCTCTGATCTTAAAGAAAGTCATAGTAGTGTTTATATATTATTCATATTAATTAATGTGAAAGGTGCAAGGAAGAGACCGTTTGTATGTCAAACATGTTGGTACACAGCTGGGGCTGGAAGGTTCATACATTCCCCGCACTTATATAGAACAAATTCAACTGGAAAAGCTTGTGAATGATGTTATGGTATGATATACTCTTTCGTAATGCATGATATGATTCCTATCAAATACTAGACAGTCCTTGATCGATAAACGTATGCAGGCTTTGCCAGCTGATCTGAAGACAAAACTGAACATTGATGATGATACAGCAGCCATGAGCCCAAAAGAGGCCGTGTATCGGGCCTCTGCAGATAGGAGAAACAAGTTTCTTAATCGGTAACTCATAATTTATAGGAATTACTGATAAATATGTATATACATAATATTCATACATAAGTCTGGGGATATTCATGCTTTTGATATAAAATAAATGCTTATGTGTGAAATCCGTGCATATTAAACATGGGCAGTGGGATGTCGCTCTCATTTTCAAATTCACGCGAGAAACATATGAGAAAGCTCACTAAGCTTGAAGTAAATAACAGCAGATATGATGGAAGAACTCCCGATTCGCCAGCAGTCGCTAATCAGGTAAAAGATTAGCTCTCATAATTGAATTATGTATTGATTTTGATTTACAAAATGGATAACCAAATGGACAAATGGACCCAAACCAATCTCCCAAAGGGTGCTGAATAACCACAAAATTCTCAAACCCGAACCACCATCGTTCCAGATTTCAGTATTATACATTTATACTGTATTGAATTGGGTCTGTATTGAATTGGGTCTAACTCACCCAATAAGGATCCACAAACCTTATAAAGTAAACTCAAACCCAGGAAACAATCATTATGAAGTATTCAATAATATCTATCAAATTGTGTGTTTCAGGTTGCCATGACTCGCCTCTCAGAACAGATCTCTACATTGGCAGAGCGAATGGATGAGTTCACATCCCGGTTGGAAGAGCTTAACGTGTCTGCAAGAAGTTTTTCTGCAAGTGAGCAAAATTTGACGGTTTTGCCTGAAGTGATTAGCAACAGCACTGCGCCAACTTCCCTTTTTGCGGCTGGTTTGGGAAATGGGTCGTTGAATGGTGGTTCCATGTTAAATCATTCGGCATCATCTTCTCAATTGGCTAGGGATCCTCTCATGGAAGAGGTACATAAAATTCCACATTTTGGTCCCAACAACTGTTAAATCATTGTAGCTTTTGGTTCTTCACTTCATTTTTCCACTGTTTGTGCATGACTCACATGCATGTCACTTTTGGTCCTTATGATTGCTTTTACTGCCAATTTTTGACCAAATACTGCCTGATGGCTTGAAGTTCTGAAGTGGCTAGAAGCTCATTATCGATCATTTTAGATTTTTAGTCACTTTCCCGACCAATTTATAGATCAAACTATTGCCCATATAGGTGATGAGCACACAAAGTTGCTAGAAATTCATTATTGTGCACCAAAAATAGATGTCAAATTACCAAGCATGAAATCTCAACTAGTCAACTGTGAACCTGTTTGGGGTGCAGGTTTTTCGAGTTTCAAGGGGGCAACTTGAGATAGTTAATCAGCTACAGGTTTTGGGCGAAGCTATACGCGAGAGATACAGGGAGAGGTCTCAGCAAGGAAGAGGAGGACAGATTGAAACAATAGGACTTCCATTGGTCCTTAGTTTGGTTGTTGGTGGTATAGGCATCTTCTTGTTCCGAACGCTATCATCCTAAAGGCTTCTATGTGCTGTGCTGACTCACCATATACATGCAGAAAAGGGTGAGATCGGAGCTAGATGTAGCCTTCTTTCTGTGAACTAAACAAATACGGAGTATATTGTAGACATACAGGAGTTTAGAGCCATCCTTTGTATAACATGTAGTGACATATTTTTTGTGTGTTTCTCGCATAGACCTGATGAGCCAATGATATAAAATGCCACAAAGTTGAATGAAAGATTAGTTGGTAAAACCCTTCAGAGGTAAACTTCCTCTGGACACTTTGGTCCAAAACTTGCACTATAAAACATGCTACACACAACAATCAACAATGGTTATGCACAAACCAACAACCACACAATCAAATACGGAGTATATAACACCAAAGCAGAGCATTTGTTTTGAGGACTTAGCAGACATCAATTCAGATCCAAACTTGATGAAACTGTACCGGTAACATATGGTTGAAAGTGACACAAACATGCAAGTCGTGCACAAAGTGTGGGAAAAAATAGTCATGGACCCGGTTCGGCCCGCCCGGCCCGGCCCGCCCGGCCCGGCCCGCTACTGTGCGGGACCGGAACCGGCCCGGTTCTCGGGTCCGGGTCCGGGACGGGCCTAGGCCCGGTGGGGGGGGTCCGGGCTCGAGCCTTGTATTTGGCGAACCGGCCCGGCCGGGCCCGGATCCGGGCCTAATTGATTTTTTTTTTCATTTTTTGGGATACACTCGGGTCGGGCTTGATGGTTAGGAGGGGTTTGAGGGTTTTGGGGGGGGGGGTGGTGGGTGGTGGGGGTGAGGGGGGGTTAGGAAAGCAAAAAAAAGAAGAAAAAAAGAAAAAGAAAACCAAACCGGACGCCCGGCCCGGACCCGGACCGGATCCGGTGGCTACCCGGGCTGGTCCCGGGCCTTCCTTCCCAAAAAAAAGAAGACTGGATACCAAAAATGACAAAAACAAAAAAACTTTATAACCTAGCCACCTAGGGGTTATAAAGAGGCAGCAAAAGCAATCATATGGACCAAAAGTGACGCATGAGAGTCGTACACATACAGTGGGAAACTATGAAGTCAGCGGGAAAGTATGAAGTCAAGGACCAAAAAAGTTTTTCAGTACGGAATAAAAAGACTGCGTTTCTACTTTCTAAACGCAAGGTGACTGGATTGGTTCGTAAATACTTTGGAACGGGACAACGGGTCGCAGTCTCACAATTTTTTGAGAATTAATTTGAGTTTACTTACTCAGTGAAGTATTGATGGAGAAGTTGTTCTATCAATTTTTGTTGTATTTTCATATCCCTATCATGTCCGTAACACTTCCATTATAAGCTGCAACCAAGTAGACTATAAATTTAGGAAAAAATCACATTAATAATTTCAACTATTAACTATCTTTCAATATTAATCCCAAATATACATAATTCTGAAATAATCTGAATTTACCAAGTCCTTCACAAATTGATATCAGGTACTCGAGAGACTTAATGAACTAGTAAAGAGAAATACAAGCAAAACCCTGTATTGCCAATGTCACACCGGAAGAGAATCAACCGCCCGTAATTGGAAGTAGCACCACGACGCACTCTCCCACGTATTTCACCGTCAGGGATCAAGATCTTTCAAAGACAGTCTGCTACCGTTTGGAATTGAGGGGTTCCAACTTCCAACCTCCCGTCTTCATAAATCAGCGCCATTGCAGGGTTTTTTCACTTCAAGAGGAGGAAATAAAAGAAATACAAGAAAGAAATGAAGAAGGGACTGTCACCGAAAAGAAGGGAAAAAAGAGAAGAAAACACAAGGATGGGAAAGTTGAGATTCGAGAGGGGAGAAAAGAATACATGTCGAGATGACCTGCTGAATGGGTTTATGCAGAACTCAAGAGGGGAAAATTGAGACTCGAGAGGGCAGAACTCAAGAAGAAATTTTCAACAAAATTTCTCAAAAAGAAAGGCACGCATCATCCTTCAAGAATACATAAATTAATGCATTTTAACACTTAACATATTATTTATTGTTATTATTCTACAACAAACAACTTCATGAGCATTGATCAGCTATAAAGTCTAAAAAATCCAAAGCTGCAACCTTGTCATCTTTCTCATGGTGCTCTGAAAAATTCACCAGCATAGCGCACGTTTCCAAGTTCCTCTTCAATGCGCAGAAGCTGCAATAAGATCGAAATTGGCACTTATAGTCGTATACCCATACTGCTCAATCGCTCATCATCTAATCATATCAAAACTTCCCCCACATCATTTTATAATGCTTAAAAGCTAAAAATAAAAACTATCACTCTTTTGTGTTACAGGAGTACGGGGGGAACAGAAATCTCATCTCACCTGGTTATACTTGGCTAGACGCTCACTTCGGCAGGGGGCACCTGTCTTGATCTACATCAGAAAAAGAAAGAAATGGTCAGAAAAATGAAACCTATAACTACGTAACTCATATAAAAGAAAAGAAAGAAAGAAAGAAAAGAAGAAACAATAGTCAAGTAATAGAGAGATGAACCTGTCCACTGGCCAGACCAACAGACAAGTCAGCAATGAAGTTGTCCTCGGTTTCACCACTCCTGTGGCTGACCATGACACCCCATCCCGCTGCTTTTGAGTCAAGCGCTGCTTGTATGGATTCTGTCACGCTACCTATTTGATTTACCTGCAATTATTTTAGATATACTTTAATCAATTTGTTTTATTTCCATAATTCGTAGATTTCAGCTACCTCATCAAGATCACCCACAATTTCAGAAACTATAGCCAAACTCACACCTTACCAAACGGTCTCCTAATCAGATGAAATGGATGTTACCAATTGTTTTTCCTTTAACAAAAAATTCAAAAGGTTCAACCAACCTCCTTTCAGCCAAACAAGCCTACCCAAACTGGCAATGAATTTCACAAACGAAAAAGAGATGTAAATAAGTAAATACAGGTTTAAAGTCACATGCCTTGAGCAGTAAAGCATTGCAAGCCTTTTTCTGAATAGCTTCAGCTATTCTCTTTGGATTTGTGACCAATAAATCATCACCCACAATCTGTATATCCACGGAAGATTCTAGAGCTGCCCATGACCTCCAATCATCTTGATCAAAGGGATCTTCAATTGATACAATAGGGAAATCCTTGACAAACTGTTTGTATAGATCAAGAAGGCTCTCAGGAGTAAGCACATGAGAACCATCATTTGGCTGATTCTTGAAATTAAGGTCATACTTCCCGTCTTTCATAAGGAACTCTGATGCTGCAACATCCATACCTATCTTGATCTGTTCTAGAAAAAAGATCTTTTAGACAATGAGAACCTGAAATGCAACACGGTCCATTTGGAACACAGAAAATGCTAGGATGGAAAACAGATGAGAACTGGGAAAGAAAACTTTGGGAAAAAAATAAATAAAATAGTTGAACTGCACAAACCAGTTCTGGATATTGGTTCAAATTCCTTATTTAAAAGAAAAAAATCAAATCAGATCTGATTTTCCTAAATGTTTCCCAATGTAAAACGAAATATATAAAACATTATTTTTCTTTGGCATTTCTTTTGTATTCCATGCCTATGTATTGTAAAATAATTGCATAAATGAGAACGGAAAGACTTACCTTTCCAGTGTAGCCTGCTTTATCAATTGCATCCATTAGTAAAACTAAACCCTCCCTGTTATCCTGAACATTTGGAGCAAACCCCCCTTCATCTCCTACATTGCATGCATCTTGTCCATATTTTGCTTTGATGATTCCCTTGAGTGTGTGGTACACTGTTTAATAATCCCATGTAGAATTTATCATCATAGTAACTTAAAATAAAATCCAACAACAGGGAAAACACAACCTAGTGAAGCAAAATTTCATTGTAAACTGAGTTATAGGTTTTGGTTCTCAAATACGGAGTATCAAGTTACAAAAGCATAAAAGGGCCCCTAGTATTATGGATACATAAAAAGTGGAAAATCCAAGAGATAAGGAGCCCCACATGTTAGAACTTAGAAATATGTTAAAGTTGCTTACTTATTTAAAGAGGTAATTGCAGAATATTTAAAAAAAAATGAAAAAAAAAAGGTCAATGTGTCATTTAGTTCCTTATATAAGCCAACATAGACATGAATTAATATAGTGTTTGGTAGATAATCTAGTTGATAAGCCAAAAACCTACACACGCACCAGTTTATTTCACCATCAGAACCAACATGAGTAATTAGTGAAATTAAATAAAATTTGAAAATATTAGTTTTGAATAAATAAATAATATAAAGTAACTTATGAACTACCTTTTTCATCACATACAGCTCTGATTAAATTTACTTTTGAAAGAAAATATAATTAATAAGCAGAAAACTCAAGCAACCACTGCACAAACCTTCACTGCCCATTTTGAGAGCCTCAGCAAATGTGGTGGCGCCAACCGGTAAAATCATGAACTCTTGCATGGCCAGATTGTTGCCAGCATGACTACCTCCATTGATCACATTGAATGCAGGAACGGGCATAACAAGCTCTTTGGTCCCCGAAAGCTCCTGAATGTGTTTATACAGAGGTATCCCTTTGGCTCCAGCACCAGCTCTACACACACTCAGAGATATTCCTAGTATTGCATTTGCTCCAAGTTTGGATTTGTTTGGTGTTCCATCAATCTCCAACATAAGTGCATCTACAGCAGCCTGGTTCCTTTGGCAATAGAATATCACAGATTTAATGGCTCAAAAGCTTTGAAGAAAATAACAAGCTACAATGTAGCTTTATTAAGTAAAAAAATATAAGAATAGTATATCTTCATTGTTCAGTTTAACAAACTTAAAAAATCAAAATGTACGCCACATTTTTTCTTCCAAACTGGAGTCTCCACCCCATTTTTAACTGAAGTTCTTGAACTCCTGGTGCAAATACTAATGACTTTGGAAAATAGGTGCGAACTCAAGCTTGGATGAAAAAAAAGAGTGCAAAGTTCAACTCCCTAAATTTTAAAATTGACCAGTATAATCCCAGACATTTTTTATTAAAGATCTTGCTAACAAAAACTCTTGTGTAAGTGAAAAAAATATATCTATCAAAATGCCAATGGATGTATTATTGTCTAGTCTATACAAAAACCCCACACACACACACATATGATGAACAGTTGAATTAAATACAGAGTGATAAACTCAGACACTGTTATAGTGTAAACAATTGGGTAATCGGCAGGTTACCGGGCAATGTACTTAGGTAGACTAGCCCATGTTTTGATAATTTTGAAAAAAATCATGTCGAATTGAACTGAAACCATACCCTCTTCCGTATTTAGGGTAATTTACACATACAAATCTTAGTTCCAATCATACAACCATTATTAAACGGAACCTTACCCTAATCCTTACAAAATTCACCCAAAATGACTTGCTACTTATATAATGAGCATTGTAAAGAAAATTTTAGCAGAACTTAAAAACATAAGCAGGATAAGTAATTACTAATTAGCTTAATACTCTACCCGAATTGCTCTCACCCATGAAGTAGTCATTTGAGATTCCAAAAACACACTAAAAAGCAGCAAAAAGTGAGACATTGACTATAATAGCTTACCTGATATCCACTCCGACAAGCTTAGGACCCAGGAATTCATTGATATTCTTCACAGCATTCAAGACGCCTTTGCCCCCATAAACACTCTTGTCTCCATCTCTGAGCTCCAATGCCTCGTAGATCCCGGTGGAAGCTCCACTGGGCACAGCCGATCGGTACAGCCCACTTTCAGTCACCAGATCCACTTCCACAGTCGGGTTTCCCCTGCTGTCAATTATCTGCCTAGCCTTCACGGACTTCACCTTGGCCGCAGCGGGCACGGCGGCAGTTGCCGGAGCCACCGCCACAGAACATCGGATTAAAGACTTCCGAGGCTGGAGCTTAGAGGAAGCGGGTAACGGAAAGAGACTCCTTTGCGAAATGGGTTTGGAAGAAAAGATGGGTTTTGATAGCTGGGCGGAAGTTGGAGCTAAAGCCATCCTAGAAGCCTTCCTCGATGTGCAGGAGTTCAGGCAGAGAAAGAGTGAGACTGGAAAGCGGAGGGTATACAGGAGGAAGGAAAGTCGGGAAGATGATGGAACATAGGGAGATCCGTCAGACGGCGGTGGTGAAAAAAGAAACAGAGTATATATAGAAATAATAGAGAGTTGGGGGTAGTTGAAAATGTGTTGGTTAGAGCTTTGAAAAAACATTAGTTTATGCCGAATAAGACAGCCCGCGCTAACAAGGGTAGGTATCGCAATTATTATTATACTAGCTTTTGCTCGCGCAAGGCGCGAGAGCTATTGCCCAATGCCAAAATGATGATCTTTTTTACAAATTGTCGAATCAATTATATTCCGTTCGTCTCAAGTATTGTGTGGAAGGTATTGCTATATTATTTTTTTTTTGCTATATTATTTGAAAGTATGGGATTGTGTGATTTGGCTTTACTATATTTTTTGTTCAAATACATGAAATAGTTGTAACTTGTAAATGCCTATACAACAAGAAATCTACAACCATATGATTTGGGGTGTTCATTTCATCTGATTGCAGACATGAAATTGAGTGGGGCAAATTTCCTACGTGTGCAAGCATTTGAGAACGGATTATAAAATGAACATGCCATCAAATATGTTTGTTGCATTAATTGGGAAGATTCAAAAGGTTTTTTCAGTTTGTTTGGTTTAACATTCCAACCATGACCAGAGAGAGAGTTGTGCGGATACTTGGTAACTTTCAAGTTAGAGTTAACGGAGATTAAGTATTTAACGGTATATTAAGGGCAATGGAGTCAATTGAAAAGTGAGGTTCCATTTTTTAATAACAATGTACAACATCTCATGCATAGAGTGTATTGACATAAATTAAGGGTACCAACCTTGATTCATAATTATAATGTTGTTAGATTATTTGGTAAGTGGCAATTATTATTATTATTATCAAAATATTACGTGGTACTATCAAATTTTAACATCAATTTTTACATTCTTTTTTAGAGACTAATAAAGTAATAATAGCACACTAGCACAATAAAAATAAATTGAAACATATTAATATTTTCAAAATTATTTATAGATGATCAGATCTCTTACTCAGTTTTTCTTTGTCAAATGGTGGTACTTGATTGAAAAAATAAAGTGAGAGACCACTTGAGAGTTCGTCCTCAACGTTAATGTTATGGTAATTTGAAACTTCATATTTTGTCAGCAATGCAACTAAAATATTAGTTTCAAGTTGTACAACATATTAATTCCAAACGAGTATGGATTTAGATTTATCACATCTAATCGAACGAGACTATACTAGGCATGGACCCATTCGTGGTCTCGAAATCGTAACCGGACCGGAACCGCCCGGTTTTTAACCTGGATGGGAAAATAAGGATCAGATCGGACCGGACAATGGGAAAGAGGCCCTGGTTCCGGACCTCCATATTTTGAGAACAGGACTTTTTGGGATTGGACAAATCTCACTTAATTATTTTTTGTTTTTGTTTTCCTATGAAACCATTGGAAAACATTTTATAAGGCTTGAGGATCCTTTTGAGGGTTTAAAAGAGGTGGAGATGGGAGTTAGAGGGTTTAAAAGTGTATTAAAAAAACGGGATCCGACCAAACCAGTTGGGGACTGGAACCCAAAATAGATTTCCAAGTCTTTTATATATTTTTTTCAAAACCGGCCCGTCCATGGCTAGGCCAAACTAAGGGGTGTTTGGAACTGATTCTGCTTCTGCTTCTTTTTTAAAGCAGAAGCGGAATCAGAATCAGTTTTCAGAAGTTGGTCACCCCCAGCTTCTAAAAAAACTGATTCTAGGAGTAAATTTGAGTACCAGAATCACTTCTACACTTTCATCCAAACACTCCAGCTTCTACTTCTGCTCCCTGAAGGAGCAGAAACAGTTTTAAGAATCAGATCCAAACACCCCAAGTAACTTACACCTAGACGGAAGCTAATTGAGGTCGAACTCATTCCTTTAAAGTACAAGGAATCACATTAGTTCCAGTTCTGTTTTTCAAATCTAAAAACCAGAATCGATAAACCCATTTAAGGTTTCAATTCCTCTCTTTGGGTAGTTGACCTGAAACCAGGTTGGGATTACCCAAATTGAGGTCCCTAGGGATTTATATAAACGAATAAAGTCTGTTTGGTGTCATTTAATGCAAGAAAAATTATCGGCCAATTTTATACCAAACGAATATTTAAACATGGAGTTCTCATCCTTGCAAAAAAAACATGGAGTTCTCATCCTTGCAAAAAAAACATGGAGTTCTCATCCTTGCAATATATTTCCATTCGTTTTCATTTTTGGAAGAGGGCTTGATTAGGGGACTATAATTGCCGATTATTTTACAATGTTATCTGCTCACTCGGGGGAGGCTTATTATTAACTCAGTTTGAGTTTTCTTTAGGTAAATGGTAAAGAATAAGATAGAATGGTGAGTTTTAAGTTGCTGATATCTTAAGTTAACAAGCCAAAAATATAATAACCAAACATACATTTTTGAAAGAAAAAAAGAAGGGCGTCCTTAGAAAAGATACATTAGCATATAAAGTGATACATATAACTCATGAGCCAAAAACCCTTACTCTTGTTAAACATCAAATATCTACTTAGCCCCAGGGCAATGAGCCTGGATATGGAACCCTACCACAGTATCGGAACAACCCTTCAATTTCAGGACATCCATTGGGATAAGGGATTGAACGATGAAAGGGATCACGTCCTAACTTCTTCCGCAAGAGTGAGCCTTTACATCCGTAAGGATCATCTTGGAACTGCGTCCTCACAAAGGCCTCACTTTTCAAAGCTGCATCCCTTGAAGATGGCGATGATGGGGTTCCTGAGTAAATGAATCTACTTTCTGGGAATCTTATGGCTGTGCGGTGCAGTTGAACAAATCTCTCAGCCTTAAAGTCATAGCCCACAACCTGCATTTTGATTTTACACACTAATTTATGACAAAACTAATGACAACTTCGAAAATCAGAACTTTTCTTAATGTACTGTTATTTAAGAGCCTAGGCTGTTGGCATTACATTTGACTCTTATATGTTGTTGAATTAATTTAAATCTAATAACTATTTATATCCATAGGAAGATGATACAAAATATCTTCATACCTGAAAATGCACAAGAATAAATGCATAAAAGTCTTATCTTAGATAGACAAACAAAATATGGCCTTACTGTTAAATTATGTGGATATGAACCAGTGAGTTCTCTGAACCTGCAAACACTAAAAAGAAGGTTCTCAAAACTGTCTCTAGCATGCTCTTCCGTGAGTGCCCTCCTCCTTACAATTTCTTGATTTCCTGCAAAGTATTGTTGCGTCATTATTATTACATTACTGCAAGTGGAACACAGTTTTGAATTTACATTATACGTAGTATTATTTTGAAAAAAATTGGAAGAAATAAAACTTCTGCGAATAAATGCATCTCCATATCAGAAGGGATTGCAGTATAGTCATGACATTAAAAGAAATACAGCAAGAGATAGCATAAGCAAGAATGTTAGGGGAACTATTGCTTAGACGCATAGTAGATAGTAATCATATCAAGAATATTTGTTCTAGAGAAAAGGGCAACTCCATTACAGATTTATAATGCATTTCATTTTGTATATTGCTGGCTAAAAGTCTGAAAAGCTGGTTTGATACTAAAGAACTCAGCCATAAAATGGCAGATGATGGAGTGATGACCCATAACAATGAAGAAAAGAAAGATGTTGATTGAGAAATGTGATGTGAATATGTGATGGTAAGTAACAAACATGTGATTGTTAAAGTTCGAAATGCAAGGTTTATATAAATATATAGAAAATGTCAATTTTTTTTTTAAAATTAGAAGACAATATACTCCGTAATAATTTATGTGCATCATGAATCATGATATGATAACATCCAATCCTTAGTCCCAGAAGAGCTTGAGGTCGGATGACATTAATCGACATATGAAATTGGAGATGTGGCAATATTCATATTTCGATTCATGCCATGTGATGTGACTAAGTTATACATTGACCATCACGCACCTACCATAGCACCCTCATCCTTTATCCTAGCTTGGGACAGACATGATACCAAAAATGGTCTCATGGCGGAGTTTATGTGCATCATAATAGTGAAACAAAAATTAAGAACACATCTGTATGTGAATCTGAGGAAGTTAGAAAGTTAGGCTGAGTCAGTGTTTCTTTTCTTCTCACTTGATAAATAATTTATTAGTAACGCAAAGATCCCTCTTATAGTAGTGATTACAAGCATAGAAAAACCTAAAACAATATAAGGAAGATATCCTAGCTAATCACTTCCCAAAAGAGATAGACTAATGAAGCTATTAAAATATATCATGCATCACTCTCCTCAATCTTTTCACTTAATTGCTCTTATTATTAACTTTCTATATTCTTATAAATATATCATGCATCACACCTCCCATTCCCCCTGCCCCTGTAAGTCCTCCAACCAAACACACACTTCTCTTTAACTTTCCTCTGCTCCATTGCAACAAAGCAAGGCCTTAGGCTAGACAAATCACTAAGCGCGTACGCACAAAACCCATACACCATAAATACATCATGATCAAGGAGAGAAATACATGAAAGACCATATGCATCCAAAAAAACTCTAAGTTAATTTGGATGGAGGGTTTTGGTTAGCTAAGTCTATATCCTTAATATATGTCTGAATGTCTGTCTGGGAGCGATTTTTAAGAAAGTGAAAGAATAACACAATGGGAAGTCTTATAATAATCAATAACCTTCGATTTAGTTTTAAAAATAAGATATATACTTAGCATTCCAAACCCCACCATCCTAATAGGCCCCAAGTATCCAAACTTTCTATCAGAAAACAAGAATTGGAACCCCGAAGATTTCACACTCCTATGCATGAAGAACAAAACTCACCAAACCATCCTTTAGACTCAGCAACAATCCAATAGCTTTGTGCCTCGCTTCTGGGCCCCGCCTCTTTCCTTGTCTCTCCACCGCTGAACAGAAGCAAAGCCACGTCATCAGTTGCTGTAATTTCAACTCCCTTCTGTATATGCGCTACAAAGGTTTCAGCTTGGCCAGGATGCTTCTGATATGACTCCAGAAACCAAGCGTTCTCCTTCTCAACACTCTCACAACTACTGCTAGTGTAAACCGAATGCCCGGCAACCATTACCAGATTCTTGAACTCGGAAAACGGATACATTTCTACACCCTTATTGGGTTTCTTTAAGTTACCCATAACCCGAAACCGGGCCTGGTAGGAAGACAATATGAAAATAATAGTAACCGCAAGGCAGAATGAGATAAAGAACAGCAAAAGTGGGCGAACCTTATAGTAGTAATTTATCTGATCACCTAATGACTTGATCATTTTGATGGGATGAAATGGCGAGCTTTTGGGTTTTCTGCTTCTTTTTGGAATTCCAGATTCTAAGTCAAAATCAGCCCTAGGGTACGCTTGGAATGATTTGGGGCTGCCAGACCCAAATGAAAAGTTTGTCCTCATAGATCGAATCCAATTTGTGGAATATCAAGTTCTCGGGCATGCCCAGAAATCAGTAAAACCCAATAAATCAGTCGCAGCATTAGATCACATCGAATAATAGACGGACAAAATCCAGAGATCATAGATTAGTGCTACAGAAATGCTGTTGCAAAAACAAAAGCAAATTTCGAAATAGACTTTGAGCAGAGATTTACGAAACGGCAACTGTGAGATGAAATCTCAAATTCCAATTTTCCAAAGGATCCTTGAAATATATGGGAATAAGATTTCCAAATATATCCAGATGGAGAGTCCGTCAAGTGAAAATTTAACTCAAGCCAGGGGAGTTTGTTTTAAGAACCTGTGAATCGATTGGAAATGAATCAACAGATTCTACGGAGTATTTTTTAAGGAGTATTAATTAATCAACATATTCTATCGATCAATTGAATCGGGTTAGGTCCGGGTTCCACTCCGTGTTACGAGAATCCAACTATCCATCTATATTGTAGTCCAATTTACTTCCTCTCATCATATCGTCCGGTCGGTGTTGTCGAATCTCAAGGATGGGTGTCATCCTTTATACTAAAACTAGCGATCCTTCGCGCAAGGCGCGATAGCTTTTGCCCAATTTTAAAATGATGTTCTTTTTTATAAATAGCTATTTTATGCGAGATTGTTATGATATTCTTTAAAATAGTGTATGAAATACCCTATATTTTTCACAAATTGTCAGATCAAATATATTCATTTTCATTTCAAGTATTATGTGGAAAGTATTGCTATTCCATCAAAGTCAGTTGTAGTGTATCATTTAGTGTGATTTGGTCTCTGTCGTGTCAACCCTCTAGATTATCCGTTAAATCCTGTTAAATCATGTTGGGTTTTGATTCAAATGTTGCTTACTTTTTCAAGATCTGGAAATCCAACTCCATTCGAATTGAGCCCAAGAAAGAGCGAATCTCCAAGACCAGGACCTCCTAATGCTCCACAAACATTTAGACTAGTATCCCTGGCCCTAGGTGCTTTTTGGTTAGCATTTGGAACTCCATGTTTAGTTAAGTTGCACAATTTGGAGTAATAAGATTTGGTCTATATGATGATTGATGTTATCAATTTATGCTTGAGGTCATGGTGCTAGTAATTTAGAGTAATCAGGTGGTTTTCATCTTCTCTTTCAATGGCCATTGTAGGTGAATGATATTCATACATTATGGAAAGCACTAAAAAACGATCACCACTGGACCTTGAAGCATCTCTTCATAACCCCTTATACGGAGTATAAATCAGCATATAAATTATTCAAAACAGTTTCAACAAATGAGTCAACATATACGAAGTATAATAGCCTTTCAGCATATAAACCAGCATGCTCATATATTGCAGCATATAAATCAGCATATCTCAGCATAGAAATCAGTACAAAAAACACTATAATGAAGAGTCCCCAATCCAAAGTGAAGCTAATAATGAACATACTGCCTTCAGGCCATTATGAAGAAATAATGAAGTGAATTGGGGTTCAATACTACTACACTAATACTGATAACATTAATATAGTAATACAAAGACCACCAAAAATCCTATAATGCTTAAATCCTTTCAGGCCATCCTACCCCAAGATCAATACTTACATATCTTACTAACTCTGTATCATCTATTACCTTAATATGTATAAATTAAGTGGCGTGAGTTTTGTGTAAAAAGGAATGGCATGCTAGATTGGATTTAATTATAAGGCATCGGTGAAGTAAACTCATTTTGACTTGAGCTAGTGAGGTAAACAAGTCAAAGTTACTGTCATTAACAAATTTCAGTGATTCCATTAAATGTAATGGAACCAAATGTGAAGATAGTGACCGAAAGACACTCACAGCGGACCTGGAAAGATGTCGTTCTCCCTTTGCTGATTCCATCTATCCATCCATTCGCCGGGGGAAAGAGAGCAGTAATACTTTGAGAACTTGTCACACTCAAGTGCACTGTCACCCTTTGTAGCAATGCACCTATGATATTAATCGGGTAAAGCAATGTCTACTTTGGTTTGTAGTTGAATTGGGAACCGAAATCTGCAGGGGCCATCTCAAGCTTAAATCTTAATCTCTGGGGGCACTTCATCAGGTTTAAGACCTAATTTAACATATCAAGTTTGAACCATTGCTAATAACCTATGAAGAAAGATTAATTGTTGATCGGATGATGATAAGAAGACCCGACCGATTGACCTACGAACATTTCATGTTTATTTCATAACATTTCCCCGGGCAGAAATTGCAAGATCCAGAAACCCGAATGAAAGGCCACCAGTCTCTCCGCGCCGAGCCGCTGCCCAAGTACCACCGCCCATCACGGTTGCCGCTCCGCCTTCCGTAACTCCAGGAAAGGGCCACATCTGTCTTCCGACCCAAATTCATACCCATCTTCGCTGCTTACAGCATCGCCAGAGACCACTACTCTCTTCAGCAGTAGCAGGTGGGATGACTGGGCTGCTCTAATCAAGAAAGTCTTAACCACATCAGCTGATGGCTCGATTCCCACTTTCAAATTTTCAATTTCTCTTCTTGCTCCCTTAACAAATATTGCTCAGAAAACGAAGGGTGGTCTTCAGTACCTATGACGTCCATCAATTCCCTCAACAACGGATGGGTGACGGTGAGAGATGTGGGATGTGAATGAATGAATCAAAGCAAGGTCGGTAAGACATACAAGTTAAGGGAGGATAAAATTTGGAGTTAACGGAAGATAAAAATTTAACGGCATTTAAAGGATAAAAAAGCCAAATGGGAAAGTGGGTTCCACTTTTTAATAACTATGTACAACATCTAATGCATAGAGTGTATTGACATAAATCAAGGGTACCAACCTTGATTCATGATTATAATGTTGTTAGACTATAAATTACCGCAAGTAAACAAAACGATAAATTGCCCAACTATTCAATCATGGACTCAATCATAAATTATGATGTTTTCTTTTAGCCTGAAATTTGCTGGTCTGATCTGGTATGGTCTGGTTTGAATTGGTATGGTAAACGTCTGGTCTCTGTGTATTTTATAACTATGGAAGTCTGGTCTGACCTGGTCTGATCTGATATGGTCTAGTCTGGTCTGGTTGGGACTGGAAATGATCCAAAAGAAAACATCTTAAGTTGCATCAATAGAAAAATCACAAAGTTTTTTGGATACTAAGAAAGAGAAAATTAACAAATTCAAATAGGAGGAAATCAAATTACAAAGTTCATGATAACAGTACTTTAAAAATATATTAATCTTAAGAGTAAGATTCTTCGATCATTTATATCTCTATCACATCAAATGATCAAATATACTCCGTATATTGCAAGAATCTTATAATATACCCCATACATTTTACTCTTCCAATCATTCTACATAATTGCACTACTTATGATGAAAGTAATTTTCCCGCTCAAGATCGAAGACATTTCAGCCGTACGATAGAACGAATATCTAGACTTCACCTTTCACTTTCTCGCTTCATCTTCGCTCGCTCACTCCGCTCATCATCTTTCTCATCGACATAGTCGCTGATCCTGGAATTGAATAACTTTGATTCTCCCTTCATTCCAGATCTGCCGCAATTCTAAAGGTGCATCTCTTTCGCAATCGCTCATCGTCACGTATTTCTCAAGGAGCAGTAGTTTATATGGCATTATCTTTTATGGTTCCTGACTTCCTGTTTATGTGCTAGAACCGGTATAATAACATATAGCTTCCTTGCAAAAAAAACATATAGCTTTTTTTGTTTCATTTGTAATCTTCACCTTTTGGATTATACTGAATACTTAGTCAACTTTTCTTGCTTAAAAGGAAAACAAAAGGCAAGGAAATTAAGACGGTGATGGTTACATACTTACAACCCAAACCTTAATGACAAAAATTGTTTCTTCATTGTTTCCTCACATGCCAACTCGCCGCTTCTTTTTTCCTCACAACATCATAGCCTCACTTGTTCACTGTCCTGCTCCTAGGTTTCTCGATGATGAACGAATTCAAGCAAAATGTAATTCCATGGTCATACAGCTGAAAAGTCTTCGGTCTTGAGCGGGAAAATTACTTCCATCATAAGTAGTGCAATTATGTAGAATGATTTTATTGTGTACATTCTTTTACCCACAGGTTCTCATATCTTCTACACATGTCATGCTTAGTCAAGATTCAAAATGAGCATAATCTAAATACTGGGTTTTGGTGCCCTGTACTCACCAGAAAATCTGCGATGATAGAAATAGAGTTAAGCTCGACATATACTAAATAGAAGTGTTCTGGTAGGAATTAGCACTATAATATATGTCTTGGTTATAACCTTAGTGATTTGGCAATCTTTTTTGGTTCACTGCAGCCTGCTTAGAACTTAGAAGTGTTTTAACCATTAGGCTGATGACAAATTGGAATAAGGCTGATGAAGAAGCTTAATCAAGGTAATTCCGTAAATTCTTGGTTATTTCAAATACAGAATTTATTACATGAACAATAAGCGTATTTAAAACTTTAAATTTTAGTTTAAGATGGTTATGGCAGTGTGGTTCGGTTTTTAGAGTCTAACATGGTTATAGCTTAAGACATTTGATTTATTTTTATATGTTATGCCTTCAAATTGAAAAATGCAATTGCCCCATAGATTGCACAAAATGCAATTGTACATTGAAAAATGCCTTCATTTTTCTCTTTCATTGTTTTCCTTTTTCTTGTTGCCCCTTTTTAGCCATTCCACTATTTTTTTCTTTTTCCTTTCTCCTTTATTCTTTCTCAATCTTTGAAAAATAAAAGTGATTGTTATTGAATATTCTTTTAGATTTGGAGAATCACACTTTTAGTCCTCAAGTTATTGTTCATATTGATATATAATTCTCATTTATTTAATCTTGTAAATATCAGCATCGGTTATTTGAATTTTATAAATGTGATTTTTGCTGAAAATTTTGAAAACAAACACTGTTAATTTTTAATTTTGTAACTTTGACATAGTTATGTTCATTAGAAATTATACACTTCTGTAAATAATTTCAAAATTATTTGCACCTAAATTTTGTCTCTTCACTTAGGCCACAGACAAAGAATGTTATTGTCAAAAAATATATTCTATAGACAATAATCGTCTCTCACATACAAAAATACTTCAGACTAGATAAAAATGATACACTATTTGTTTGCATTTTAAAAAACTTTGTACCGAAAATTTTGTCTGCAAAATTATGCTAGAGAAAATTATATCTATCAGAGAAGTCCAATTTTACTGACAATAATTGTTTGACAAAAAAAAACGTTTTGACTAAGTACAAACGTGCTCTAAAATTATCAGTACATTTGTTTTTTAAATTCTAATCAATAAAATACAATTTCTACCCTGTCTGAAATAGTTTTTTGTACCAGACATTTATTGTTCATAAAATTAAATTCTTTTTATCGACATTATTAATAGTTGTCTTATCCATATATTTCTTTGATGCCAGAAATTTTGAAAAATTGAAAAACAAAAATTTGTGGTCTTTTCTCATTTTTGTCTCTTCTAGACATTAATTGTCTTTGATTTAGAATTTCCAACCGATGTTTATTTACTATGAACTTGAACTTTTTCAACTGCCATTTTTTGCTTGTGGCCTTAACATTTCATATGAAAAAATTGTTGGTGCTAAAGATTTTTACAACTAAGAATTATGTTTAGGACCTCCTTAGAGATAAAAGTTTAGGTGCTAATGATTTTCAAAACATGTTCAAAAGTGTAGATTTTTTTTTGTATATTTTATTTTAAAATTCATTCTATCGCCAATTCTTTTATTTGTAAATCAAGTCATGAAACGATGTTCAAAATAATTCGCTTTTACAAATATTAAATGTGTGGCACAAGAAATTTAGAATTTTATTACCGAATATAAAACGTTTTTTGCGAGTGGCAAAAAATGGTGGTAATTGAATATTTGTGATAAAAATTAGACTAACTTTACACACATAAATTGTAGGTTTTGAAAATGTGAATAAAAATAGTTTTTTATGTAGTCTAAACTTTAAAGCATTTTTATCCTCATCACATTATTATTGTCTACTCCGTATATAATTTTGTTTTTATGGTCGATGTTTTTTTTCTATGGCTTAACTTTACAAACAAAAATTTTATAGCAAAGGAATTGGAAATATTTTAAAGTGAATAACTTTTTTTACTATGTCTAAACTTCAAAATTATAGAAAAACTAAATATGTTAGTTCAAAATTAACAATGGGAACCAGAATTTTCAAACTTCATATAACTGGAGATGACATTTACAAAATTTAGTAAATGAGAATTATGTTTCAACACGAGCAATAACTGACGGATTAAAAATTGCGATTCTTTAAAAATAAAACAATATTGAGTAATAATCTCCTTTATTTTTGCAAGATTGGTAAACAAGAAAAGAGAATATATAACGAATCATTGTTGGAGGGTGATACAAAAAATTGTATTACATGTATAATGTTTTAAAAAAATTGAGGTTTAATTAAACTAAATGAGGTTTTAGGATTCAAATTTTGTCCTATATACATTCATGTGCTAAAATTAAGATCTCTTTGTTAATTTGTTTTACATGTTTCAATCAGTTTAACAATTTGGTCTTAATTGTAGCATTTGGATATAATTAAGAAAACTTTTGGATTGAAAAACCTCCTGCAATTGAAACCGTAGTATTTTAAAAAAATTCTATATGTTATATTAGTGTCATATGAATGATCATAAAAGGTTTTGAATTTCGATATAATTTTTTTAAAATTTGAGGTAAAAGTAAAAAAAAAAAAGATTTAAGGAAAATTGGGATTTATATTATGCATGCCTCCCTAAATTTCCTTACTCTGCCCTTTCCTTCTCACCCATTTGGAATGTCTCATTCCAAACTTTTTTTAATTTTATTTTTCATTCGAAATGTACTTCTTCGAATTTCGTTTTTCGTACCCGAAAAAAACTCTCGTGTTTTTGCATACCTGACTCAAAAGCCTCATATTTTTATAAGAAAAAAGTCAAATAAGTTCTTCTACTTTTTACAGACATCACTTAAGCCCTTGTACTAAAACAAGTATCATATATGTACGTTTACTTATAAAATACAATCAATCAAGTCATTTGACCTGCCATAGTAGGTTATTTTTATTACAATTAAGTTAGGAAAACTAATAGATCTTATTCAAATTCAAATAAATTTGAATAAATAATCTAATAATAATATAAAAATACTATAAATGTAAAAAAGATAAAATTTTACAAAAAATAAAATAAAAAGTAAAATAAAAATCCGAAAACTGAAAAAATAAACTGAAAATAAAAAAATGAAAAATAAAAAATTGAAAACCTTTTAAATAGATGTAGAATATACAATTATTTTTAAAAATTTAAAAAAATTGACTTTGATATTCTGAAAATTTTCACACGTTTTCTATATAATTCTTCAAACTTTAACATTTGTTTAGAGTTTTTAAATATTTAAAACCCGCTATTACCAGTTAAAACTGATTAAATGGTATAATTGATCAATTTTGTAAAGTAGGCATACTTAAATGGGGAAAGTTCCCGAAATAGGACTAAAACAGTTTGAAAATTCCAAAATAGGACTGACATGTTTTTTATTCCCAAAATAGGAGTAATTACTGCTAAGTTTGGAAAATACTGCCATGTTTGAAGTC